CCAGGACTATCACCGTACACAGACAGTACAAGGTAGCTATCAGACCCGTACACAGACAGTACCAGGTAGCTATCAGACCCGTACACAGACAGTACCAGGTAGCTACCAGACCCGTACACAGACAGTACCAGGTAGCTACCAGACACCATACACAGACAGTACAGGTAGCTACCAGCCCTACACAACAGTACCGGTAGCTACCAGACCCATACCAGCAGTACCAGGAGCTACAGACCAGTACACAACAGTACAGGTAGCTACCAGACCCGTACACAGACAGTACCAGGTAGCTACCAGACCGTACACAGACAGTACCAGGTAGCTACCAGACCGTACACAGACAGTACCACGTAGCTACCAGACCCATACACAGACAGTACCAGGTAGCTATCAGACCCGTACACAGACAGTACCAGGTAGCTACCAGACCCGTACACAGACAGTACCAGGTAGCTACCAGACCCGTACACAGACAGTACCAGGTAGCTACCAGACCCGTACACAGACAGTACCAGGTAGCTACCAGACCCGTACCACAGACAGTACCAGGTAGCTATCATCCGTACAGACCCGTACACCCAGACAGACACACAGGACAACCAGCCCTGACCCGTACAGCCAGTACCAACAGCAGGTCAACGCTATATCAATCCTTTGTCTTGACAGGTTATGGACTGACTGCAATGAAATGATGTTTGTTCCTGTACAGCATATTAAGATTCACCTTTCTGTTGTTTTTTTCTAGTGGTATTTCTAGTAGCAAGATAAAACATGTTAAAGTGTCCAAATGTTAGAGTAATAGAGCTATATGTCAGAATATTAGAAGTAGTGAAGAGATGTCATCACGTAGTGTCACGCAGGAAACCTCTTTATTCCGCTCCAGAGCTCCAGGAGACAGTGAGCAGTCTGCTGGAGGAGAAGAAGAGGCTTGCCTGTCAGCTTCAGGAGCAGCAGAGACAGGTTGAAGAGCTAACAGCCCTGGTGAGTACCAACTACCAGGCCTGGTAATCAATAACTCACAGGAGGACTGTCTGTTTTGGGTGGGATTCTGAGGGCTGGCGAGAGGACTTGTGTTATATTATGTGAGCATGAATGCAGAATATCTGTCTAGTTTTTTCATAGTTTTGATATGTACACTGATCAAAAATATAAACGACTTACTGTTCATATAAAGAAATCAGTCAACTGAAATACAGTGGGGGAAAAAAAGTATTTAAGCCAGCCACCAATTGTGCAAGTTCTCCCACTTAAAAAGATGAGAGAGGCCTGTTATTTTCATCATAGGTACACGTCAACTATGACAGACAAAATGAGAGAGAAAAAATCCAGAAAATCACATTGTAGGATTTTTAATGAATTTATTTGCAAATTATGGTGGAAAATAAGTATTTGGTCACCTACAAACAAGCAAGATTTCTGGCTCTCACAGACCTGTAACTTCTTCTTTAAGAGGCTCCTCTGTCCTCCACTCGTTACCTGTATTAATGGCACCTGTTTGAACTTGTTATCAGTATAAAATACACCTGTCCACAACCTCAAACAGTCACACTCCAAACGCCACTATGGCCAAGACCAAAGAGCTGTCAAAGGACACCAGAAACAAAATTGTAGACCTGCACCAGGCTGGGAAGACTGAATCTGCAATAGGTAAGCAGCTTGGTTTGAAGAAATCAACTGTGGGAGCAATTATTAGGAAATGGAAGACATACAAGACCACTGATAATCTCCCTCGATCTGGGGCTCCACGCAAGATCTCACCCCGTGGGGTCAAAATGATGACGGTGAGCAAAAATCCCAGAACCACACGGGGGGACCTAGTGAATGACCTGCAGAGAGCTGGGACCAAAGTAACAAAGCCTACCATCAGTAACACATTACGCAGCCAGGGACTCAAATCCTGCAGTGCCAGACGTGTCCCCCTGCTTAAGCCAGTGCATGTCCAGGCCCGTCTGAAGTTTGCTAGAGTGCCTTTGGATGATCCAGAAGAGGATTGGGAGAATGTCATATGGTCAGATGAAACCAAAATATAACTTTTTGGTAAAAACTCAACTCGTCGTGTTTGGAGGACAAAGAATGCTGAGTTGCATCCAAAGAACAACCATACCTACTGTGAAGCATGGGGGTGGAAACATCATGCTTTGGGGCTGTTTTTTCTGCAAAGGGACCAGGACGACTGATCCGTGTAAAGGAAAGAATGAATGGGGCCATGTATTGTGAGATTTTGAGTGAAAACCTCCTTCCATCAGCAAGGGCATTGAAGATGAAACGTGGCTGGGTCTTTCAGCATGACAATGATCCCAAACACACCGCCCGGGCAACGAAGGAGTGGCTTTGTAAGAAGCATTTCAAGGTCCTGGAGTGGCCTAGCCAGTCTCCAGATCTCAATCCCATAGAAAATCTTTGGAGGGAGTTGAAAGTCCGTGTTGCCCAGCGACAGCCCCAAAACATCACTGCTCTAGAGGAGATCTGCATGGAGGAATGGGCCAAAATACCAGCAACAATGTGTGAAAACCTTGTGAAGACTTACAGAAAACGTTTGACCTGTGTCATTGCCAACAAAGGGTATATAACAAAGTATTGAGAAACTTTTGTTATTGACCAAATACTTATTTTCCACCATAATTTGCAAATAAATTCATTAAAAATCCTACAATGTGATTTTCTGGATTTTTTTCCCTCATTTTGTCTGTCATGGTTGACGTGTACGATGAAAATTACAGGCCTCTCTCATCTTTTTAAGTGGGAGAACTTGCACAATTGGTGGCTGACTAAATACTTTTTTCCCCCACTGTACCCTTTGTTGGCAATGACACAGGTCAAACGTTTTCTGTAAGTCTTCACAAGGTTTTCACACACTGTTGCTGGTATTTTGGCCTATTCCTCCATGCAGATCCATGTATATTCATTAGGCCTTAATCTATGGATTTCACATGACTGGGAATACAGATATGCATCTGTTGGTCACAGATACCTTTAAAAAAAGGTAGGGGAGTGCATCATAAAACCAGTCAGTATCTGGTGTGACCACCATTTTGCCTCATGCAGCGCGACACATCTCCTTCGCATAGAGTTGACCGGGCTGTTGATTGTGGCCTGTGGAATGTTGTCCCACGTCGCTGTGCGACGTTGCTGGATATTGGCAGGAACTGGAACACGCTGTCGTACACGTCGATCCAGAGCATCCCAAACATGCCCAATGGGTGACATGTCTGGTGAGTATGCAGGCCATTGAAGACCTGGGACATTTTCAGCTTCCAGAAATTGTGTACAGATCCTTGCGACATGGGGCTGTGCATTATCATGCTGAAACATGAGGTGATGGTGGCGGATGAATGGCACGACAATGGGCCTCAGGATCTCATCACGGTATCTCTGTGCATTCAAATTGCCATCGATAAAATGCAATTCTGTTCGTTGTCCATAGCTTATTCTGACAGTTTGTGCAGAAATCCTTCGGTTGTGCAAACTCACAGTTTCATCAGCTGTCGGGGTGGCTCGTCTCAGACCATTCCGCAGGTGACGAAGCCGGATGTGGAGGTCCTGGGCTGGCATGATTACACAAGGTCTGTGGTTATGAGGCCGGTTGGATGTACTGCCAAATTCTCTAAAACGACGTTGGAGGCAGCTTATGGCAGAGAAATTAACATTGAAATATCTGGCAACAGCTCTGGTGGACATTCCTGCAGTCAGGATGCTAATTGCACGCTCCCTCAACTTGAGACATCTGTGGCATTGTGTTGTGACAAAACTGCACATTTTAGAGTGGCCTTTTATTGTCCCCAGCACAAGGAGCACCTGTGTAATGATCATGCTGTTTAATCAGCTTCTTGATATGCCACACCTGTCAGGTGGATGGGTTATCTTGGCAATGGAGAAATGCTCACTAACAGGGATGTAAACAAATTTGTGCACAAAATCTGAGAGAAATAAGCTTTATGTGCGTATGGACAATTTCTGGGATGTATTATTTCAGCACATGAAACATGGGACCAACACTTTACATGTTGCGTTTCTATTTTTTGTTCAGTGTAATTATATTCTCAGTCACGTTGAAGCACCATAAAACCTTGGCTGTTTATGTTTTACCAGCCTTTCACCTCTGTTCTAAATGTTTTTTGTAGGCTGAGAAGGAGCAGGCTGAAATGAAGGAGCTTCGCAAAACCATCGAGCAGCAAACCAAGATCATCAAGAGGTTCAATAGAGGTGAGTTACATGACAGTCTACCCACTACCCACTGTGTTCATATCAATAGAGGTGAGTTACATGACAGTCTACCCACTACCCACTGTGTTCAAATGTTTCTGGTTGGCTACTGTTCATCATATGTACTGCAGAATGTATAGACCAGGGGAAAATGGTACAGGAGTCATCGGGACAGTTACATTTATACCAGTAGTACTGTATATAGAGAGATGCGTCTGTGAGGTGCTGCCACCAGGGCTATACTAATCTCATGTCATCTGTCTATGAGGTAATACATGTGGGTGTGTGTGGCTGGCTGTGCATCTGGCAGCTGGCTGTCTTCCCGGAAAGACCCTCCCTCCCAACCCACATGAACACACACACACACAGAGAGACACACACACCCTGCTCACCCTCCTTAATCATCTGTCGAGGGCATGCTACTGCTCCACAATATTCCCTTCAGAGACATCATCATGGTAGAGAGGGGGCTGCACCACAGATGCCCCTCTTCTTTCTCCACTGCTGTTACTGTATTACAGTGGTCTGTAAACAGGTTTGGGCTTTCAATTAGACCATCCTCCCTGACCCTCTCTCTCTCTCTCTCTCTCTCTCTCTCTCTCTCTCTCTCTATCTCTCTCCTCTCTCATCTCTCTCTCCTCTCTCTCTCTCTCTCTCTCTCATCTCTCTCTCTTCAGTGTCTGTGATGGCTACTACAGAGTATGAGGAGATGAAGGAGCAGCTGGATTTGGAGCAGAGCCTGAGGGTGAAGGCTGAGACGTATGCCCACGAGGTAGACAGACAGACAGACAGGCAGGCAGGGGAAGACTCATATCAGACATGATGACTGGGATAATGGCAGTGTACTGTATGAAGTCTTAAAGCACCATGTTAATTAATCACTTGTACAAATGTTTGTTGTCATTCTCTAAGTGTGATAGCTAACATCTCCAAATGTTCTCTGAGAATATGGTTGTCAGGGGTGCTGAAGGTGGGTGTGGTGAATGAATCAAGCGCAGGAGGCAGAGGTACAGTCCAAAAGACTTTAGTGCAATATCCACAAGAGAAAAGCACATAATAGCCCGAAGGCGAAAATCACGGCGCACACAGGCGTCAAATAAACGGCGCACAAACAAACCTCTCCAAAACACTGGAGGGAGGAACAAAGCTCCAACACGAAAACAGAATGGGCAATCACACAAACACAACACACAACGAGAACTAAATAGAACACTAACGAGGACTAACTAGACACAGGTGTACAACATCAAGACAAAACCAAACGAACATGAAACATAGATCGGTGGCAGCTAGTACTCCGGGGACGACGACCGCCGAAGCCTGCCCGAACCAGGAGGAGGAGCAGCCTCGGCCGAAACCGTGACAGTACCCCCCCCTTGACGCGCGGCTCCAGCCGTGCGCCGACCCCGGCCTCGGGGACCAGGACGCGGAGCAGGGCGCGCGGGATGGTCCCGGTGGAACTCCGACAGGAGAGATGGGTCTAGGATGTCCCTCCGCGGCACCCAGCACCGCTCCTCCGGGCCGTACCCCTCCCACTCCACGAGATACTGGAGACCCCCCATCCGGCGTCTGGAGTCCAAGATGGACCGAACGGTGTACGCCGGAGCCCCCTCGATGTCCAATGGGGGCGGAGGAGTCTCTCCTATCTCATTGTCCTGGAGTGGACCAGCTACCACCGGCCTGAGAAGAGACACATGGAACGAGGGGTTAATATTCTTATATTCAACAGGTAGATGTAACTTATAACACACCTCGTTCAATCTTCTCAGGACTTTAAAGGGCCCCACAAACCGCCGACCCAGCTTCCGGCAGGGCAGGCGGAGGGGTAGGTTTCTGGTAGAGAGCCAGACTCGATCTCCGGGTGCGTACACCGGCCCCTCACTGCGGTGGAGATCGGCGCTCGCCTTGTGACGAAGGACGGCCCGCTGCAGGTGGACGTGGGCAGCGTTCCACGTCTCTTCCGAGCGCCTCATCCAATCATCCACCGCAGGGGCCTCGATCTGGCTCTGCTGCCACGGTGCCAGAACCGGCTGGGAACCTAATACACATTGGAAAGGGGTTAGGTTGGTAGAGGAGTGGCGGAGAGTGTTCTGGGCCATCTCGGCCCAGGGAATGTAACGCGCCCACTCCTCAGGCCGGTCCTGGCAATACGACCTCAGAAACCTACCCACATCCTGGTTGACACGTTCTACCTGCCCGTTACTCTCCGGGTGGTACCCCGAGGTAAGGCTAACCGAGACCCCCAAACGCTCCATAAACGCTCTCCACACCCGGGAGGTAAACTGGGGGCCTCGATCAGACACTATATCCTCGGGGACCCCGTAATGCCGGAAGACGTGGGTAAATAGGGCCTCAGCGGTCTGTAGGGCAGTAGGAAGACCCGACATAGGGAGAAGACGACAGGCCTTAGAGAACCGGTCCACAACGACCAGGATGGTGGTATTCCCCTGAGAGAGGGGAAGGTCTGTTACAAAATCCACCGAGAGGTGGGACCATGGTCGTTGTGGAACGGGTAGGGGCTGTAACTTACCCCTGGGCAGATGTCAGGGGCGCCTTACACTGGGCGCACACCGAGCAGGAGGAGACGTAAACCCTCACATCCCTAGCCAAAGTAGGCCACCAGTATTTAGTGCTAAGGCAATGCACTGTCCGGCCAATATCCGGATGTCCAGAGGAGGGTGACGTGTGAGCCCAGTAAATGAGTCGATCCCGAATCTCGAGCGGAACGTACCTCCGACCCTCAGGACATTGTGGAGGGCTGGGGTCGGTACGCAACGCTCGCTCGATCTCGGCATCGACCTCCCACACCACCGGTGCCACAAGGCAAGACTCCGGTAGTATGGGAGTAGGCTCAACGGACCTCTCCTCCGTGTCATACCGCCGGGACAGTGCATCTGCCTTACCATTCTGGGACCCAGGGATGTACGTGATTTTAAATACGAACCTGGTGAGAAACATACTCCATCGAGCCTGGCGAGGGTTCAGTCTCCTCGCTGCCCGGATGTACTCCAGGTTCCGATGGTCAGTCAAAATGAGGAAAGGGTGTTGAGCCCCCTCAAGCCAATGCCTCCACACCTTAAGGGCTTGAACTACAGCTAACAGCTCCCTGTCCCCAACGTCATAGTTACGCTCCGCCGGGCTGAGCTTTTTGGAGTAAAAAGCACAGGGGCGGAGTTTAGGTGGCGAGCCGGACCGTTGAGAGAGAACGGCCCCTATACCAGCCTCAGACGCGTCCACCTCAACCTGAAAGGGAATTGTGGGATCCGGATGCGCCAGCACCGGAGCCGACGTAAACAGGTCCTTCAGTCTCCCAAAGGCCCTGTCCGCATCAGCTGACCACTGCAGGCGCACCGGACCCCCTTTCAGAAGGGACGTGATGGGAGCTGCCACCTGTCCAAAACCCCGGATAAACCTCCGGTAGTAATTCGCAAAGCCCAAGAACTGCTGCACCTCTTTTACAGTGGTTGGAGTTTGCCAATTACGCACAGCGGACACACGATCCACCTCCATTCTCACCCCTGACGCGGACAACCGATACCCCAAAAAGGAGACCGACTCCTGGAAAAACAGACATTTCTCTGCCTTGACATATAGGTCGTGCTCCAACAGCCTCCTCAATACACGTCGCACCAGGGTTACATGCTCGGCTCGGGTAGACGAGTACACCAGAATATCATCAATGTACACGACCACCCCTTGTCCCTGCATATCCCGGAAAATGTCGTCTACGAAGGATTGGAAGACTGATGGAGCATTCATCAACCCATATGGCATGACAAGATACTCGAAATGACCTGACGTGGTACTAAACGCTGTTTTCCATTCATCGCCCTCCCTAATACGCACCAAGTTATACGCGCTCCTGAGATCCAATTTTGTGAAAAACCGCGCTCCATGCAATGACTCCGTCATGGTCGCAATCAGAGGGAGTGGATAACTGTATTTCACAGTAATCTGATTGAGACCACGGTAATCAATGCACGGGCGCAACCCTCCATCTTTCTTTTTCACAAAAAAGAAACTCGAAGAGGCGGGGGAAGTGGAAGGCCGAATGTATCCCTGTCTCAAAGATTCGGCTATGTACGTCTCCATAGCTTTTCTCTCCTCTTGAGACAAAGGATACACATGGCTCCGTGGGAGCGCTGCTCCTGCCTGGAGATCAATCGCACAATCCCCCTGTCTATGGGGAGGCAACTGCGTCGCCCTAGTCTTGCTAAACACGAGAGCTAAATCCCCATATTCAGGCGGAATGTGCAGTGCGGGCACTTGGTTTGGACTTTCCACCGAAGTCGCCCCCACGGAAACACCCAGACATCGCCCCTTACACTGAGCAGACCACCCATCGAGAGCCCTCTGTTGCCACGAAATAGCAGGGTTATGGGTGCTTAACCAGGGAATTCCCAGCACCACTGGGTACGCAGGAGAGTCGATCAGATACAGCTGTATAGTCTCTTCATGACCCCCCTGCGCACACATCCTAAGTGGCGCTGTGACCTCCCTGATCAACCCCGACCCCAACGGGCGGCTATCTAAGGCATGAACGGGAAAAGGTTTGTCAACAGGTAGGAGAGGGATCCCTAACTCTAAACAAAACTTTCGATCAACAAAATTCCCAGCTGCGCCTGAATCTACTAGCGCCTTATGCTGGGAATGAGGTGCGACCTGTGGAAAACCAACAGGTATACAAAAGTGCGCAACAGAAAGCTCTGGGTAAGTGGGGCGTCTACTCACCTGGGAGGCCCCCCCAGTGCGTGGCCTGTTGTCTTCTCCCCCGGAGAACCCTCCCCAGCACCTGGCCGCAGTGTGCCCTCCACGACCGCACTTGGTGCAGGAGACAGGCCCCCTCGGGCTCTTCCTCCTCCGTTCTCTAGCGCCGGCACCCCCGAGCTCCATAGGGCTCGGCTCGGAGGTGCCGGAGGGCGGAATGGACGGACCCCCCCTCGGGACGTCCACGGGTGGCCAGCAGGGTGTCTAAACGGATGGACATATCGACCAACTGGTCGAAAGTCAGATGGGTATCCCTGCAGGCCAACTCCCGTTGAACGTCCTCCCGGAGGCTACACCGAAAATGGTCGATGAGAGCCCGTTCATTCCACCCTGCATCCGCCGCTAGAGTCCGGTACTCCAAAGCAAACGCCTGTGCGCTCCTCCTCCCCTGTCTTAAGTGGACTAGCCGCTCCCCCGCCGCTTTGCCCTCAGGTGGATGGTCAAACACGGCCTTGAAGCGGCGGGAGAACTCGGCGTAGGAGATGGTGTTGGCGTCCATCTTCCTCCACTCAGCGTTAGCCCACTCCAACGCCTTACCAGTGAGACAGGAGATGAGGGCAGAAACGCTCTCGTGTCCCGAGGACGCCGGGTGTACGGTGGCAAGGTAGAGTTCCACTTGTAGCAGGAACCCCTGACACCCGGCAGCGGTGCCGTCGTATGCCCTCGGGAGCGAGAGCCGAATCCCACTGGGTTCCGGTAGTTGGACGTGCGGGCTGACCGATGGTGATGGTGCGGTAGGTGGGGGTGTGGGTACCCCGCTGGTCTCCCATCTATGGAGGGTGTTCATCACTCAGTCCAGGGCGTGCCCGATTTGGTTGATACGATCCTCCTGACCACGAAGGCGCTCCTCCATGATCTGAGTGGGTACGGGTGCTCCTGCTGATTCCATAAGATGGTGTGTGATTCTGTCAGGGGTGCTGAAGGTGGGTGTGGTGAATGAATCAAGCGCAGGAGGCAGAGGTACAGTCCAAAAGACTTTAGTGCAATATCCACAAGAGAAAAGCACATAATAGCCCGAAGGCGAAAATCACGGCGCACACAGGCGTCAAATAAACGGCGCACAAACATGTGCAAACAAACCTCTCCAAAACACTGGAGGGAGGAACAAAGCTCCAACACGAAAACAGAATGGGCAATCACACACAAACACAGACACACACAACGAGAACTAAATAGAACACTAACGAGGACTAACTAGACACAGGTGTACAACATCAAGACAAAACCAAACGAACATGAAACATAGATCGGTGGCAGCTAGTACTCCGGGGACGACGACCGCCGAAGCCTGCCCGAACCAGGAGGAGGAGCAGCCTCGGCCGAAACCGTGACAATGGTATTTTATTACCTTCATTGTTATTTATTACTAATGTTCAAATTAGTCTTAAATAAACAATTACCTATATTCTCACTTCTAATTAATTATTAATAATAATTTTGTGTTGAGGAATGGTGCGTATAGATTTTCCTGAATGCATGTTTACTGACCTCCAAAAGCAGAAACCCTCCAGATCTGGTCCTAGTCTGGGGACTGGCAGCAGCAGCAATACTAGTCCTAGTCTGGGGACTGAGCAGCAGCACTAGTCCTGGTCTGGGGACTGAGCAGCAGCACTAGTCCTAGTCTGGGGACTGACAGCAGCACTAGTCCTGGTCTGGGGACTGAGCATCAGCACTAGTCCTGGTCTGGGGACTGAGCAGCAGCACTAGACCTGGTCTGGGGACTGACAGCAGCACTAGTCCTGGTCTAGGGACTGAGCAGCAGCACTAGTCCTGGTCTGGGGACTGAGCAGCAGCACTAGTCCTGGTCTGGGGACTGAGCAGCAGAAGCACAGACTCAGCACTGCTTTGAAGGACACACATATGCTTGGGGGAACCACAGCCACAGTAGTTGGGTGTACTGTTATCTGTTACGCTGCTTGGCCTGAGGCTGGAGAGGGAGTCGGGGTTCTCTGGAGAATGCAGGCTGTGGTTATTGTAGACCATTTAGATAAAAACAATGCCTGCTTACTTACTGCTTCATGCTACAGTCTAATGCTTCCATATCCTGCTTCATGCTACAGTCTAATGCTTCCATATCTGGAGAACCTGGGTCTTGTGTTTTAAAACACCTGATCGTTCCCTCAGTCCCTCCTCTGCTTCCCTCCTTTTCTCTTTCCTTCCTTCCCTCCTTCATTCATTCTCTCATCCTTCCTTCCCTCCTTCATTCCTTCTCTCCCCTCCGACAGATGTTGGTGAAGCAGAAAGAGGCTAACAGACAGAGTATGATCCTGCTGCAGAACGCTGACCCCAGCCTTCAGCTCATCAAGGCTCTGGAGGACGTGGCTAATGTTACCAAGACTCTGGAGCATGAGAGACTGCTGCATCACCAGAAGGTAGGTAGATAGATAGATATACAGTATATATCTAATGTTACCAAGCCTGTGGAGCAGGAGAGACTGCTGTAGGTGGGTGGGTGGTAGGTAGGTAGGTAGGTAGGTAGGTAGGTGGAGTGGTGGTGGTAGGTAGGTAGGTAGGTGGTGTAGGTAGGTAGGTAGGTAGGTAGGTAGGTAGGTGGTGTGGTAGGTAGTAGGTGGGGGTGATTAGGTAGGTGGGTGGGTGGGTGGGTGGGTGGGTGGGTAGGTAGATGGTGGGTGGGTAGGTGGGGGTAGGTAGGTGGTGGTGTAGGGGGTGGGTGGGTGGGTGGTAGTGGTTAGGTAGGTAGGAGGGTGGTGGGTGGGTAGGTCGGTAGGTAGGTAGGTGGGTAGTTGGTAGGTGGGGGGGTGGTAGGTAGGAGGAGGGTGGGTGGGTTGGGGTGGTCTGTCAGGTGGTGGTAGGCTAGAGGTAGGTGGTGTAGGTAGGTAGGTTAGTAGGTAGGTACGGGTGGAGGTAGGGTGGTTGGTAGGTGGGTGGGTGGTGGGATGGTGGTAGGAGTAGGAGGGAGGGTGGGGTAGGTAGGGTAGGTGGGTGGTAGGTGGGTGGGTGGTGAGGTGGAGGATGGGGGGTGGTAGGGTGGTGGGTGGGTGGGGTGGGGTAGGAGGGTAGGTGAGGGTAGGGAGGGTAGGTAGGTGGGTGGTGTGGGAGGGTGGGTGGGTGGGTGGGTAGGTAGGTGGTAGTGGTAGGGGTGGGTGTGGTGGTCGGTCGGTAGTAGGTAGTAGGTGAGGTAGGGGTGTGGCGTGGTGGTGGGTTAGGTAGGGTGGGTGGTGGTAGGTAGGTGGTGGGTGGTGTAGGTAGGGGGTGTCGTGGTGAGGTGGGTGGTTAGGTGGGAGGTAGGTGGTTAGGTAGGTGGGGTGGAGGTAGGTGGGTAGGTAGGTGGTAGGTGGTAGGGTAGTTTGGTAGGTCAGGTAGGTGAGGTAGGGTAGGTAGGTAGGTTGGTAGGTGTAAGGTAGGTAGGTAGGTGGGTGTGTGTGTGGGTTTGGTAGGTAGGTGTAGGTAGGGTTTGGTTAGGTAGGTGGTTGTGGGGAGGTGGTGGTGGGTGGGTAGGTGGTAGCGGGTAGGTGGGTGGGTGGTAGGTCGGTAGGGGGTGGTAGGTGGTGTGGGTGGGTGGGTGTTGTTGGGTAGGTAGGTGGGTGGGTGGTGTGGGTGGGTGGGTTGGTAGATAGGTAGGTGGGTGGGTATGGTAGGTAGTAGGTAGGTGGTAGGTAGGTGGGTGGGTGGGTAGATAGGTAGGTAGGTGGGTGAGTAGGTAGGTAGGTAGGTAGGTGGGTGGGTAGGTCTGACTACCTCACAGGACTACTATGGTTATAGGTAGCATCACCAGAAGGTAGGCCTCACAGTCCCAGTGTGACTGCTAGATAGATACAGTATATATATATCTGTAGTCTGACTACCCTCACTGGTTTACCACGCAGCAGCTACTGGGCTCCAGCTGTGGCCAAACCTGCGAAGTCATCACCTCTCAGATCTCCACCCCCAGAACCCACAACACATGACAAGGGGCTGTGATGGGCGTTTGTTTAAAGCTGTCCAGCCCACAGGATTCCTCCCTAATTAAACTGGCAGTGGTTTGGTTTGTCCTGAATCAAGTGATCATAAGTTACCATCTTCCCCTCTGACAGTATATTATATTTTCCTACAGAAAAGACAGACAGACAGACAGCAGGCTACATTACAGACAGACAGACAGACAGATCTAGCTTCTGTAACTGATCTTTCTGAGTACCATGTAGACAAGCTGATCATTCTTAGGACCAGGGAGACAATCTGATCCCACTATTTCTACTCCCTGCTCTCTGCCAGACTGCTGAGGCTGTCTGTTTTAGTGTGCCGCAGAGCTTTGCTCCAAAATGCCCATCCTTGGCAAGGGAGAGGAGAGGGTGTGTTGTTTCAGAAGAACAAGGAGGATACAACAGGAGGGCTTCAGTCAAATCAATATGTTTAATCACAAGGGCCTTTTCTTACACAGCACTTCACAACGTTGTAGAGTGAACATTAACACACTCCTATATGGTCTTGCCTTGTGGTGCTTGGAATGAATTTAGAGACCAAAACATATATACTGAACAAACATATGAACACAACATGCAACAAATTTCAAAGATTTACTGAGTTACTGTTCATATAAGGAAATCAGTCAATTGAAATAAATAAATTAGGCCCTAATCTATGGATTTCACATTATTGGGCAGGGATGCAGCCATGGGTGGGCCTTGGAGGGCCTAGGCCCACCCACTTGGCAGGCAGCCCCACCCACTGGGGAGCCAGGCCAAGCCATTCAGAATTTGTTTTTTTTCCCCCACAAAGGGCTTTTTTTTACAGACAGAAACAATCCTCAACCCCCCTGGTCTGGCATGGTTACACGTGGTGTGCGGTTGTGAGGCCGGTTGGACGTACTGCCAAATTCTCTAAAACGACGTTGGAGGCAGCTTATGGTAGAGAAATGAACACTCAATTCTCTGGCAACAACTCTGGTGGACATTCCTGCAGTCAGCATGCCAATTGCACGTTCCCTCAAAACTTCAGACATCTGTGGCATTGTGTTGTGTGACAAAACTGCACATTTTAGAGTGGCCTTTTATTGTCCCCAGCACAAGGTGCACCTGTGTAATGATCATGCTGTTTAATCAGCTTCTTGATATGCCACACCTGTCAGGTGGATGGATTATCTTGGCAAAGGAGAAATGCTCACTAACAGGGATGTAAACTAATTTGTGCACAATATTTGAGAGAAATAAGCTTTTTGTGCATATGGCAAATTTCTGGGATTTTTTATTTCAGCACATGAAACATGGGACCAACACTTTACATGTTGCGTTTATATTTTTGATCAGTGTAGTTTCAGCAAGGCAAAGAGCAGAATTGCTCGTCTTCACATAATGAGTAGACCTTCGGGGTGCAAGGTGATTTTATAAATCAGTGATTCTGCGCAGTCCAACTGAACTATAGTAAATCTGGATCTCAAACACACTGGGTGTCTCCATCCATCTCCATGTAGGTGAAGGCTCTGGAGGCTGAGCTACAGGAGGACACGTTGAAACAGCAGACAGCAGAGCTGCAGAGCCAGCTGGAACTGATAGAGGAAGAGAAGAGAGAGACAGAGGGACGTCTGCAGGACGTAGAGAAGAAGAACTGTGACCTGGAGAAAAGAGGTGAGGAGAACACCTACAGGCTGTCAGTCACATCACACCGTGGGTAACCACAACTTATATTCCTATTGCTCTTTGAAAGAATACGTCTCCAGCAGGTACCAGTAGAATAGATAGTTGTCCATCTTCTCATGTTAAAATGACTGGTGACCCAGGCTTCATGTAACACACCTGTCTTTTATATCTTTAGTGCAAGAGCTGCTGCAGGTCCAGAAGAACACTGTGCCCTCACCAGGCCCTGAACCAGGGACCGCCCCACCCCCCGCCCCTGTTCCCCAGCCCCCTCCACCCCCACCACCACCCCCTCCCCCTCCTCCACCCCCTCCCCCATCGCGATGCAACCCCCTCAGGTAAGACTGTAGGCTATTATTATGTTGTGTACAGGCTTGCATGCAGAGCTCCAACCACCAATCTGTCTAATCATACTGAGTTTAATTTATACTCTCTTCATTCAATAGCTCACTGATTGCAATCATGAGGAAATCATCCAAGGGTTCAAAGGGGGCATCCCCGAAGTTGGAGCAAGCTCCTGGTAGGTTTGAAACCACTGAGAATCAAATCTGCACCTGCCAGAATAATATAGAACATCGAGGATATGATTTAAATACTCATTCATAATTGAGGAATTTCTTATTTTAAAATCACACATCTTTACAATATTATCCATGTAACCCTTCTGTCTCTCTCCTTGTCCTGTAGATGGAGGTGCAGAAGGAGGTACAGATGACGTCAAAGTGAAGGCAGTGAATGAGATGATGGAGAGGATTAAACATGGAGTGGTTCTGAGGCCTGTCAAGGGAGGAGACACTAAGGTGAGAAGGTCAACAGTTCATGTTTTGTTTAATAATTGTTTTGGAAAATTGTGGAAATATAGACTGTACTTAATGTCCTCCGACTGATTACTCCCCTTTTTCTCCACCCATCTTCTCTAATCGACTGACCGTCTCCCCAAAGAGAGTTGCCGTAAAAGTGAGTATATTTACTTTTACATCGATTGTGTGACAGTCTCTCTGGATCCTAAAATCACACAAAAAACCGACATGCTAACCCCCACATCGCAAGGATAATCCACATCATATGGTACTAGAGTGAAATGGATTATAGCTGTTCTGTTATTAATCTCTTACTAAAACCAGTCTTCAGTTTGGCTTTTGGCATGGGCTCTTTCTCTTTGTGTAACATTGGTCCATGGATTACCTCACAATGTAGACTGACAGAGACCACATGCATGCTGCTTTCATTTCATTTAGATTATATTGATTGACAAAATCACCATGACAACTTGCAGGCTCCGAGGGGCTTTGAGGAGAAAATCAATAAAATGGCCTCCAGCTCTCTAATATAGACCAGCTATGTGATAAACGCTAACACCAGCTGCCAGCCAGGCCCGATGTGTGTGTGTGTGTGTGAGCACATAAGAAAATGCGTGTTATGTCCTGTTTATTAACTTAGTTGATGTAGTAATACATTCTCTTAACCCCTAGAAACCTCTAGTAATTGAAGAAAAGCTGCCACAGGAGAGTGCCATGGAAGAACTGAAAGGCATTCTGGTATGTTATTTCTTTTTAGTTTATTGGCCTTATTATAAGAAATAATAAAACGCTCATATATGCTTTTAAGAAATGATTAAACCTATATTCTATATAATTATATCTGTTACCAACGGTAAAGCATGTTGTCTGTGTTTCTGGACCCCCAGGAGACGGTGAAGATGAGTCCCAGTCGGGGGTCTCAGGAGTCGGTCCCGTCCCCCTCAGGGAAGAGCCCTGTCAGCAGTGAGCTGGAGGTCATCCTTAGGAGGAGACGTAAACAGGCCTGCGACTCTGGAGACGGAGGTAACAACACCATTCGTTTTGTTTGTTTCTTTAATTCTCCTAAAATGGGTATATACACAGACGATTTGAGTGGTTTGCTGAAAAAGAGATGCACATTCCAGCCTTGACTATTCTCCATATCCCCACCAGAGGGCTCAATACATCCTGCCATGATCACATGCATGCAGTACTCTAACCATTCAACTATAGGCCAGGGCATGCATGATCTGTCACTATTTATTAGTGGTGAGCCACATTCACGATGTTGTGAATTCAATAACAATTATGCAGTGCAGTCTTTGTAACCAGTTCTTAGAATACCAACAATGTGTTATCTTTGCCTTTGAATATGTCCAGGGACAACCGAGTGTACTGATCCTATGGTTAGATGTTAGGCCTACAGTGTAGTGACCCTATGGTTAGATGTTAGGCCTACAGTGTAGTGACCCTATGGTTAGATGTTAGGCCTACAGTGTACTTGACCCTATGGTTAGATGTTAGGCCTACAGTGTAGTGACCCTATGGTTAGATGTTAGGCCTACAGTGTACTGACCCTATTGTTAGATGTTAGACCTACAGTGTACTGACCCTATGGTTAGATGTTAGGCCTACAGTGTGGTTGGTAAAAACTTGCATCACTGTTTACTTTGTGAAATGCCAGTCAAACATCTGATTGTTAATGCTCCTAGATCATATAGTAATCTACTGGAGATAATAACCCACAGAGAGAGAGTGGACATGCTGTTCTCTTACATCATGTCCCCACTAACCCCTTTTGTCTCGCTCCCTCAGATGAGAGCAGGGACGGACAAATAAGCAAGGTGTCCTCCTCTGACAGCCTGAACGGGAGGCACAGCCAGAGCTCCCACAGCTCCGACAGCTCAGGCAAAGAGCCAGAGGGGCCTGTAGGGCCAGGGCCTGGGCAGAGCCCCAGAGAGCCAGCCTCCCCCAGCGGAAGGGGCCCCGGCCCAGCTGTAGCAGCCAGGCACAGGTCAGACTCTGTCCAAGAGCCCCAAGCAGGGTCCTGGCAGGACAGGAGGCACCGTACTTCTTTGTCTGAGAAAGAGGCCTACTCCGAGGTGCCGGTCACCAATAGATGCATTGTCAGGTAATGTACCATCTATTATGGTGACCATCCTCATGTCAATTATTTCAGCTAAATTGGCCCACATATGATAGGCACAACTACGAAATATCTCTGGTTTGAATACCCGAGCCGACAAGGTGAAAAACCTGTCGATGTGCCCTTGAGCATGCCACTTAACCCTAATTTGCTGCAGGGGCGCCGTACTACTATGGCTGACCCTGTAAAACAACACATTTCACTGCACCTATCTGGTGTGTAACAATAAAACATATTTTTGGTATTTTTTACTGTAAGAATAAAAGGGGGTAATTGCTTATTTTCAAACAAAAGGATTCTTTAAAATACTTTGTTGGTGCAGAACACATGTATGAAAATGTCAAGGACTTTTGAAGGAGGACTCACCTTTGTGTGTTCCAACAGTGGGGAGGAGCCTGAGAAGCAGAAGCCTGAGAGATGGGCACCACAGTCCAACGGAGTCAGCCACCCTAACCCTAGGCTGAGTGTGGAGTCGGACACGCATGCCTCACTCTCTCCAAGCGTTTCCGCAGTGCCCAACCCACTCAACGGGAACGGGAGCACGGATGCAGAGTGTTGAAGGTCGGCTCCAGAGGTCCCTGGCAACCAGGATTAAGGCTGAGGAAAGCTGCACAATTTGCACAGAATCTCAGTTATCTGCCGTTAGAGACACTTAATTAAAAAAGCTTTAGGTTATTTTATTTGATGCACAAACGATCTCGATCTGATGTGGCTTCGCGTCATCATCTGATGGAATGCACTGTTTTAGAATCCAACCTTTTTTATTCGTTTCTCTCTCTCCCTGACCCTGTTATAGTGAACAGGAATTTAATGATACTTCTAATCTACAGTATAGCACAAACTCATTTGATGCTAGTTCTGCTTCTTCCTTACTCTTCCTGAATCTAAAGAAGACACTATCCTACTACCGTAAGACTTTCAGTAAAGTTACTGTTTACTTTATGCAGCAGAAGCACCACCTAAACATCGATAAAGAACTATGTTTACCATCTGGGTCATCATTAGCAAATAGAATACAGATATTGCACATTATGAAGGCACTTTTGCTATTTCAAACTGGAGCTCTGTTTCAGTTTGTGAACTATCTTTAATGTGTAATCAATGCAACTACAGCGTAGGGACGCAAATGAAAGCCATGCACATGTTTCAATCAAAATAGCCTACCATCCTTGAGGAATTAGGTGCTCGTGTACTCAGTCTACCTCGTATTAGACACACTTGCCTCTTGACTATCCTAAATTGTATTTAAAGGGAAAAACATGATATATTATCATCTTCGTGCAATGGCACAACATGTGTAAAGGTCCTCCACCTACATTCCCAAGCTGTATAAGGTGCTTTGTTCATATTTGCTGGTATACTCCCATTGTTTCATTACTGCTGTAACCTGATTTCGTCCTATGTGCATTCCCCACCTCTATTATGTTAGTAGGTAATGCTTTCAGATATCTAGTACAACTTAAAACAACTTGATTACAGAGTATACAAACTTAACTGATACAGCAACTTAATCTAAGAAATAAATACATTTGAAGGCTCATAGGACATTTACTCTCACACCCGTCATGACATTGTAAATGCTTCTTAAAAACATAGATACAACATTGTGAGCATTTGACTCTATGGTAAGGCATTTCTATGAAGCCTTTAAAATGGAAGGAAATCTTGTTTTCCAGATGCAATGATTTACCAAGTCTTAAACCTATCACCATTTTCTCAAATCCATCTTTATTCATCAGGCAAGCAGCTGATCAAAAAGGAAATAACTGGACTGAGTTTGTGTGAATCTTGATATTGTGTGTGTTTGGGATTTGAAAATGGAGTGTTATGTTTTTTTTAAAAACATTTACATGGATGTTCATTTTTCACTTGTATGAAATAAAATTACCCAATTCAAACAACAAGACTTGTACTTGTATCTATTTCCCTGTCTTTATATGTGTAATATATTACTAATATTAGATCATTATTAGCTGGACTGAACTCCATTTCAAGCATAACCTGAGATAGCATTATTGGCATAGAAACTGAGCCACAGTGTCATACTGTACTGTCTTTGGCTGAGCCTTTAATACCTAAATGTAAGGTGTGTAATTGATAAGAGTGTTGAATCAATACAGTTAGAAAGCGTTTACATGGATTGGTTCACTTTAATACCCATTTTGTATTTTGTTCAAACATTTTTTTTTTTTTTTTTTATTGTTTATTCGAAACCATTTAACTATTTAGACAATGATGCCTTATTCCTTTATAATCCACGACTTACCCATGATAATACAAAAAACATAATACATTACTGTAGCTAGCTAGATCAAACACCCTGTATCTGCCAGCAATGTGTAACCGGGCTGACACATTTTTGGTGTTGTTGTCAATCAGCCGCTTTGGGACAATGCACAGTGAACTAGTGCGCAAGACGGTATTGGAGTGTGTACCAACAGAGAGCAAGAAGGTTTTCCTCTGCGACGGGAGTAGAACAGAGTTGAGTTTGGGAGTCGTTTTTCCGAGGTGAGCAGGACAATTATGAGATGGAGTTACGTCTGGATGCCGCCGGGCCGCAAGCAAAGTCGGGAGAACAGGAATATTGGAACAGGGACACAGAAAGGCGGATTTCTGAAGAGGAATGGAGAGAAAAATAGGAAGAAGAATGACATTTGTGGTTTCAGGGTGGGTAGGAAAGGAGTTGGGTGCAGTTGAATCAGTGAAGGTAACCTGTAGTGTACTTCTGATATTTGTTTGTGTTTCTTCTGACCAGAGGGAGCTGGTGCTCCGTGTCACGCAACTTGGGTCAATATCTGTTTCTTGCTTTGCTCTTAGGAACAGGGCACCATTGAAAGGAGTGATTTCTGGGGTAGTGTTAAGTGTGGAGGCAGAGCAATTGAAGTTGAAGATTCCTGGTGTTTGTGATGCCCGTCGTTTGGTGCGACTCAGACCCGGTGGTGAGCGTGGTGAAACAGAGGAGTCACTGTCAGTCCTTTTGAGTTTTGGGTCAGAGTCTCTACCAGACAAAGTCATGTTAGGATATATCAGTTATCCTGTTAGAGCTGTTGTGCCGAATCCACTGCAGTGTTTCAGGTGCAACGTTTATGGTCATGTCATAGCAGTTTGTAGGAGGGACATCCCAAGATGGGGAAGTGTGCAGGATGGCATGGGATAGAGGACTGTGTAGTTTTGGTGGATAAAGTTGTGTGTGTCAAATGTAGGGGTGCCTATGTTGCTGGTGGTCGGATGTGTCCGGTGCGAGAGAGGCAGGTTGAGGTGGCTAGTGTCAGAGTAGTGCAGAAGGTGTCGTCTGCTGAGGTAGTGAAGAAAGTAGAGGTGAATGGGTAAATGATCCTGGGAGTATCCCTGTGAGTAGTAGATCTGTGCCAGCACAAAAGCATAGGCCAACGAGTGATATATGCTTCAGTAAAGTTGGCTTCTTAGCGTTCATAGCAATAGTTAACAACTGTACGGCAGAAATGGAACGTAAATCACAGAAAATAGATGTTGTGGTGGCAGCTGCAGAGAAGTATTTGGGTATACGAGATTTGACTTCAGAAGATTTACAGGGTGTGTTGAGTGGTAGTGTCCGGTCCTCCCAGGCCGTTGGCATAGTGCAGGAGGAGAAAGGGTCAAAGTAGTGGGTTTTTAATGACTGTGGAGTTTAATGGATTTATATTATGGTCCAGTTGGGGGCGGTAATGCAACAAATTGGATGCCAACCGCCGTTAAACTCCGAAGCAGAAGAAGAAACAGAAACACCCCCTGTAGTGACTAAACGTGGTAGTATCTTCCAAAATGGCGTCCAAATATTATCAAGAGATGCAAGAGAGTTTTAGAAATAACAACAAAAGTAGGGAATTCCCTGCGCATAGCGCTAAAGTTCATTCAGTAGCATGGAGTTGCGATGGCAGGAGGTTGGCATCTGGGTCTTTTGATAAAACAGCAAGCGTATTTGTCTTGGAAAAAGACCGTTTGGTAAGTTGCTAGCTAGTTAATTAGCATGCTATCGACGCCAGCTAACATTGAATTAATGAACCACGCATGCTAGTGCAAGGCTAAAAAAACACGCCTCTCAAGTCTTATCTTGTAACATTCAGGCACACCCAAATTATACACTCACTTTTATATCTAGCAGATATCTATTAATTTGCTAACTGTATGATCAGATCGCGAAGGAAAGAGCCTGCTAACTAGCTAGGTGTTATGTTGTGTGCTGATCCAGGTAGCCTAGACAGCTAGCTAGTTAAACTACAGTTACTTTTTTGTGGTAGCTACCACCCTCTTAGCACACAGCTAGCTATCTTGTTGATTTTGCTAGCAGTTTTTGCCTATATCAACCCCTCACAGGTGAAGGAGAACAACTACAGAGGCCATGGAGACAGTGTTGATCAGTTGTGTTGGCATCCTACCAACCCAGACGTGTTTGTCACTGCATCAGGGGACAAGACCATACGCATCTGGGACGTCAGGACAACAAAGTGCACGGCTACTGTCAACACTAAAGGTACACTCCAGTTCCAAAAACAATACTTTAGTCTTGTGCTTTAGTTTTGCCTGAAGTGAAAGACTTTACAGTACGTGGTCATTTTTGGCCATCTGTAATGTTCTGTTGCATTCATTCTGATATGTGCCGACAACAGTGCTTGATCTCTCTGTTATGTTTGTTTGCAGGGGAAAACATCAATATCTGCTGGAGTCCGGACGGCCAAACGATAGCCGTTGGGAACAAGGACGATGTGGTTACCTTCATCGACGTCAAATCGCACCGGTCGCGAGCCGAGGAGCAGTTTAAGTTTGAAGTCAACGAGATCTCGTGGAATAATGACAACGACATGTTCTTTCTCACCAATGGAAACGGGTGCATCAACATCTTGAGGTAAGACCTTGGTACCTTCCAAAATGGCACCCTAGGTTATTCCCTATATAGTGCACTACTTTTGGCTAGGACACATACGGTGCTGGTTGAAAACCAGTGCACTATTTAGGGAATAGGGTGCCATTTCCCCACGCACCCTGTTACTCTAGCATTCATAGTCCTGTCCAAACTAGAATGTGTAGCTTATGTCCTGTGATGTAGCCGATGCCTATTGCTGCTGCACACGAACGTGGAAATGACTTGGAAGTAATCGATAGATGAACCTAAAGTTACGGCTCCCTGACTTTGGACATGTTGTTTTCAGTTACCCTGAGCTGAAGCCCATCCAGTCGATCAACGCCCATCCCTCCAACTGCATCTGCATCAAGTTTGACCCGACGGGGAAGTACTTTGCCACAGGAAGTGCAGACGCCCTCGTCAGTCTGTGGACCGTTGAAGAACTGGTCTGTGTTCGCTGTTTCTCCAGGTGAGTGAGTCTACATTGAAAACAGTCAATGTGGACAGATGTCGATCTACAACAAATGGTGCAATTGCAAATCCCTCACCATCATCATCAGCTAACCCAAGTAACCCGTGTAAACATCCAAAACATGATCAGTATTTGGTATCACTTGACATGCACGCTTTTGCAATGTATACATACGTTGAGTCTGATTGTCTTGTCAATGTGTCCCAGGTTGGACTGGCCAGTGAGGACGTTGAGTTTCAGCCATGATGGGAAGATGCTGGCTTCAGCTTCCGAAGACCACTTCATAGATATAGCGGAGGTTGAAACAGGTTAGTTGAAGAAAGTCAATGCATTTTTTTTGTGGCACATAAAGAAACACAATTAGCAAGAACACAAAATACAGTCAGTTGAAAGAATTGAATGTGCAAGAATAATCCCCTCTGCTCCCTGTGGAACATACGGCCCACACAACAAGCCCACACTATGCCAGATAGTCCTTGGCAAGGATAAAGTCCTCTTTAATTTGAGTTCATCATTCATAATAATATAATATGCCATTTAGCAGACGCTTTTATCCAAAGCGACTTACAGTCATGTGTCCATACATTTTTACGTATGGGTGGTCCCGGGGATCGAACCCACTACCCTGGCGTTACAAGCGCCGTGCTCTACCAATTGAGCTACAGAGGACCATTCCTCAGTATCCTCTATTCTTTCTTTTGTCTTTTTGCAGGAGAGAAGCTGTGGGAGGTCCAGTGTGAGTCGCCTACGTTCACAGTGGCCTGGCATCCGAAGAGACCGCTGCTGGCGTACGCATGTGATGACAAGGAAGGGAAGTATGACAGCAATAGAGAGTCGGGCACTGTCAAACTGTTTGGATTACCTAATGATTCCTGAGTGGGATCAAACACGCTTGTCAGTGTCTTTTGAGTCACTCTTCAAACCGAGTTGATTAGGATGATGGGCCCTACTGTCTCTGTGCAGTAAGACTTATTCTCTATATGTTTAATACAACATGCTTGACTGTTGGTCCATTAAATACTGACAAGAAGGGATGTCTGTATAAATAGCTACATCATGTAAACTGATATTTCTCTTCAGTCGAATGCTCAACTTTCTTCTACAGTTTTTTTTCTAGAAAGAGTGCCATCTTAGATGTATAATGAGCGGATGCTTACAGCGACTCTGCGAAGGGAAGAGGAATCTAGAGTTGGCCTTAACGATTGAGATAAAACGTAATTTACTCTCCGTAGTGAGGGAAAAACACTCAACGGTGTTCTTTTGGCAACCACCAGTTGGCCCTGCATCCCAATTAGGAAATAGTTGTTTGTTTCTGTACAGTTTTTCTACATTCCTGTTTCTCCATACAGTTTGCATTACACACACAGTGCTGTACCATATTTTGTTTAAAACTGTAAATTGATTTTTGTATATTAAAAGAAGTCTTGTTGACTTGTCTTGGTTGAACAAATCAAGGTATAAAACTGATACTGTGCATTGTATGTCTGCTGTCTAGATTTTTCAAATCAAATCGTATTTGTCACATGTGCCGAATACAACAGGTAGACCTTACAGTGAAATGCTTACTTACAAGCCCTTAACCAACAATGCAGTTTTAAGAAAGAATACCAAAAACATACAATATGAAATAAAAGTAACAAATAATGAAAGAGCAGCAGTAAAAATAACAATAGCGAGGCTATATACAGGGGGTACCGGTACTGAATCAATGTGCGGGGGCACCGGTTAGTCGAGGTAATTGAGGTAATATGTACATGTAGGTAGAGTTATTAAAGTGATTATGCATAGATAATAAACATAGTAGCAGCAGTGTAAAGGGGGGGGGGGGGGGCAATGCATATAGTCTGGGTAGCCATTTTATTAGATGTTCAGGAGTCTTATGGCTTGGGGGTAGAAGCTGTTTAGAAGCCTCTTGGACCTAGACTTGGCGCTCCGGTACCGCTTGCCATGCGGTAGCAGAGAGAACAGTCTATGACTTGGGTGGGTGGAGTCTTTGACAATTTTTAGGGCCTTCCTCTGACAATGCCTGGTATAGAGGTCCTGGATGGCAGGAAGCTTGGCCCCAGTGATGTACTGGGCCGTACGCACTACCCTCTGTAGTGCCTTGCGGTCGGTGGCTGAGCAGTTGCCATACCAGGCAGTGATGCAACCAGTCAGGATGCTCTCGATGGTGCAGCTGTAGAACCTTTTGAGGTTCACGACTGTCTTGGTGTGCTTGGACCATGTTAGTTTGTTGGTGATGTGTACACCAAGGAACTTTAAGCTCTCAACCTGCTCCACTACAGCCCCGTCGATGAGAATGGGGGCGTGCTCAGTCCTCTTCTTTTTCCTGTAGTCCACAATCATCTCCTTTGTCTTGATCACGTTGAGGGAGAGGTTGTTGTCCTGGCACCACACGGCCAGGTCTCTGACCTCCTCCCTATATGCTGTCTCGTCGTTGTCTGTGATCAGGCCTACCACTGTTGTGTCATCGGCAAACTTAATGATGGCGTTGGAGTCGTGCCTGGCCATGCAATCATGAGTGAACAGGGACTACAGGAGCGGACTGAGCACGCACCCCTGAGGGGCCCCCGTGTTGAGGATCAGCGTGGTGGATGTGTTGTTACCTACCCTTACCACCTGGGGGCGGCCCGTCAAAGCACTTCATGGATACAGATGTGAGTGCTACGGGTCGGTAGTCATTTAGGCAGGGTATCTTAGTGTTCTTGGGCACAGGGACTATGGTGGTCTGCTTGAAACATGTTGGTATTACAGACTCAGACAGGGAGGGGTTGAAAATGTCAGTGAAGACACTTTCCAGTTGGTCAGCACAAGCTCTGAGTACACGTCCTGGTAATCCGTCTGGCCCTGCGGCCTTGTGAATGTTGACCTGTTTAAAGGTCTTACTCACATCGGCTACGGAGATAGTGGGCTATTTTTCTAAGAAGGAACTGTATCTCAGCCAGGAAATTGTGATTAATTGCAGGCTATGACATTAAGATGTGTAACTAAATGCATTGATGTAATGTACACAGAGATGGTGGGTGTGAGATGGTAGACCTGCCTGCCCTCTAACACAGCTCCCACACACCAACCACCACAAGACCATATTATCTTAACTGGGTGAATATGATGCCTGCCAATTAAAGTACTGTATACAGTCAGGTCCAACGTTATTGGCAGTCTTGATAAAAATGAGCAAAAAAGGACTATTAAAATAAATAATACAATGCTGAACTATTTTGCATGCAAAAAAAAAAGACATTTTATACTAATACAGAGAAGGAGAAAGAGATTTTGTTTAACAAGTAATATTTTTTTTTTTTTTTTTTTAAAGATAGGGTTCAAAATTATTTGTGTGCGTGACCAAAGAGCTCTATTTTCATGTCATCCAACGAATGCAAACGCCTGGAGTTCGCTAAACGGTATCGGCACTTGGATTGGAACCGGTCCGATGACATGAAAAGAGAGCTCTTTGGCCATGCACATCAGTGGTGGGGCGTCGAAAAGAGGAATCATATGCAGAAAAGAACCCCATACTTACTGTTACATGTGGTGGTGGATCATTGATGTAATGGGGCTATTTTTCTTCCACTGGTCCTGGGGCCCTTGTTGAGGTCAACGGCATCATGAACTCTACCATGTATCAGGATATTTTAGTTACCTCTACCAGGAGGCCTAGACTTGACTGCAAGTGGATCTTCCAGCAAGACGACAACCCCATGCACACATCAAAATCCACAAATAAATGGTTAATTAACAACAAAATCAACATTTTGTGTAATGGCCATCTCAGTCTCTGGACTTGAACCCCATTGTAAACCTGCGGTTTGAATTGAAGAGGGCAGTCCATAAGTGCAGACGAAGGATATCAAGGATCTGGAAAGATTCTGTATGGAGGAATGGTCTAAGATCCATCTCAATGTGTTCTCCAATCTCTTAAAACATTTTCGAAAAAGGCACTGTCATTATCCTCAAGGGTTGGGTGCTGGAATACTGAAAACAGGGATGCCAAACATTTCGACCCTTATCTTTTTGAGTATTTTTTTAAATACTTGTTAAACAAATTCTAGTTCTCTGAGCAATTAAAAAAATATAAAATAATACACTGCTCAAAAAAATAAAGGGAACACTTAAACAACACATCCTAGATCTGAATGAATGAAATAATCGTATTAAATACTTTTTTCTTTATATAGTTGAATGTGCTGACAACAAAATCACACAAAAATCATCAATGGAAATCAAATTTATCAACCCATGGAGGTCTGGATTTGGAGTCACCCTCAAAATTAAAGTGGAAAACCACACTACAGGCTGATCCAACTTTGATGTAATGTCCTTAAAACAAGTCAAAATGAGGCTCAGTAGTGTGTGTGGCCTCCACGTGCCTGTGTGACCTCCCTACAACGCCTGGGCATGCTCCTGATGAGGTGGCGGATGGTCTCCTGAGGGATCTCCTCCCAGACCTGGACTAAAGCATCCGCCAACTCCTGGACAGTCTGTGGTGCAACGTGGCGTTTGTGGATGGAGCGAGACATGATGTCCCAGATGTGCTCAATTGGATTCAGGTCTGGGGAACGGGCGGGCCAGTCCATAGCATCAATGCCTTCCTCTTGCAGGAACTGCTGACACACTCCAGCCACATGAGGTCTAGCATTGTCTTGCATTAGGAGGAACCCAGGGCCAACCGCACCAGCATATGGTCTCACAAGGGGTCTGAGGATCTCATCTCGGTACCTAATGGCAGTCAGGCTACCTCTGGCGAGCACATGGAGGGCTGTGCGGCCCCCCAAAGAAATGCCACCCCACACCATGACTGACCCATCGCCAAACCGGTCATGCTGGATGATGTTGCAGGCAGCAGAACGTTCTCCACGGCGTCTCCAGACTGTCACGTCTGTCACATGTGCTCAGTGTGAACCTGCTTTCATCTGTGAAGAGCACAGGGCGCCAGTGGCGAATTTGCCAATCTTGGTGTTCTCTGGCAAATGCCAAACGTCCTGCACAGTGTTGGGCTGTAAGCACAACCCCCACCTGTGGACGTCGGGCCCTCATACCACCCTCATGGAGTCTGTTTCTGACCGTTTGAGCAGACACATGCACATTTGTGGCCTGCTGGAGGTCATTTTGCAGGGCTCTGGCAGTGCTCCTCCTGCTCCTCCTTGCACAAAGGCGGAGGTAGCGGTCCTGCTGCTGGGTTGTTGCCCTCCTACGGCCTCCTCCACGTCTCCTGATGTACTGGCCTGTCTCCTGGTAGCGCCTCCATGCTCTGGACACTACGCTGACAGACACAGCAAACCTTCTTGCCACAGCTCGCATTGATGTGCCATCCTGGATGAGCTGCACTACCTGAGCCACTTGTGTGGGTTGTAGACTCCGTCTCATGCTACCACTAGAGTGAAAGCACCGCCAGCATTCAAAAGTGACCAAAACATCAGCCAGGAAGCATAGGAACTGAGAAGTGGTCTGTGGTCACCACCTGCAGAACCACTTCTTTTTGGGGGGTGTCTTGCTAATTGCCTATAATTTCCACCTGTTGTCTATTCCATTTGCACAACAGCATGTGAAATGTATTGTCAATCAGTGTTGCTTCCTAAGGGGACAGTTTGATTTCACAGAAGTGTGATTGACTTGGAGTTACATTGTGTTGTTTAAGTGTTCCCTTTTATTTTTTTGAGCAGTGTATAATTTCCCAATTTTTTTGAGCATGCAATATAAATCAGTATTTGTATTATTTAGTTTATACAGTGTTTTTTGCTCATCTTTATCAAGGTGCCAATAATGATGGACCTGACTGTACATCTATGAGTAGGAGATGCACAGTAACATTACAAGGTAAGATGATCTGGAGAAGGTATTTACAGCAAACACGCCATGACACAACCTCTCTATAC